TACTTATCCCACCCAAGAATCCATTCAAGAAGTTGGCAAGATGATATTTTTTTTCAATAAGAAACAATTATTTTATTAATAATAATAAAAATTAGAAAAATGATACAAAAACCCTTCAGCAAGATGACATAAAAGTAAATCACTAGCATATAAACCAAAAAGCACAAAGCATGCTTCCACATTGGTCGAGCTTCCAAGGCAAAAATGGTCTAATGCATAATTGTCAAACCACAAACCAAGCCATCATGATGCATTAGTTCCATATTTGTGAGCACATATTGATGCCATTGGTAGTATGTCTCCAAGTTTCTCAAGACATACAACCAAATATATCATATGTTTCATTTCAATACCTTTCGTCAAGTTTCTAACTATTACTATTGCATACCAACGACACAAATCAAGGAGTGCAAATCCAACCTCATTTTGTTACCAGAACACTTTCTCTTATGATGCACGTACATGCAAGAAAAATTAGTACTAATAAGGTCAAAACCTTAATCATGAGGTAGGTGCCTCAAAGTCCTGATAATTCAATTATCAATAAGACATAATCAACATTTGAGGAGCTTCAGTTTTAAAAACTAGGAGCCATCCCCAATTTTTGGGCTAGATAGTGGACTCCTAGGCATGAGAACCTTCTTATAAGAATTTCAGAATTCCTGCGAATCTTAAGAATTAGCAAACTCAATTATGTGCATGTGTTTTTGTCAAATCTCAGCTAGATTTATTTCCATTGTGTGAAGAGCTTGATATACACTAACAATCCATTTCCAACAACTTGACCTGGCATCAAAGGTTAGGTTTCGAGAGGGGTTTTGGATTCAAGTATCACTATCCCCAATTGTGTAAATGACAATGTGACGCAGCGAAACACAATAAAAATATGACCAACGTGTGACAGACTAGAGTTAAGAACACTCTTTCAAAAAGAACAAAATCTATAATATTAATAAAAGACCTTCCAATTCTTAAACTTACAACCGTATTTATGGTATTAAAAGTCCTAATCCTTGTAATACAAAGGATTCTAATTCTAATCAAATATGGAAACTATTCCTAAATAGAATAACGAATACTATTCTTAATAGAATAATAATATAATACTAATCTAAAAAAAAATTAATCAAAAAGGAAATTAGCCCTAAAATTAAGGTAAAATAATAATAAATAAAAATAAAATAATTACGAATTCTTGTCCAGCATCAAACCATCCCTCTTAAAAAAATTTGTCCTCAAATGTCCACGACTTGAAACTACTCAATACGCCTTTGCTTATATGCATCCACTTTGCACTTCAGATTAATCCTTCCAAGCACACCTTTACATGAATCTTCAATGCCCTAGAGAGCTGATATAATAATCTTCCATTCAACATCCTTTGAAAGCCATAGCATGACTTTAAGAATTTTTTGGTATACATCTTCCAAAATCAACCCAATGTCTACTACATCTTGATTTATTTTAGGATTATCAATATCCAATTTTATTGAATAACTAGAGATTTAATTCGGTCAACAAATCCACAGTGCACACCTATCAATAAATCAATGAGGAGACTATCATATTTTGATACATCATCATAATTTTTAGCTTCTCCATCGATTTTACCAAGCTCACATGTATTAGGCACAACAATAATAATTTCTGGTGTTACATCATCACCTGCAGCATAGCCATAAATATTTATGCTCTTTTCTTCAATATTCTCTTCATGATAATCTTCAAGAGGCATCCTACCATCTCCATAAGTCCATTCAGTCTCATCACTCTTTTCAATATATTTTTTCTACATATTTATCAATATTTTTCTAATTTGAATCTTTGTAATTTTGAAGCATTGTAGAACTAAAATCTTCTTCTCCCTATTTATTTTCTTACCACTCCAAGTATTCAAAAAATTCACATTGTTGGGTGTCTGACATAGAACTTGATTCATGAAATAATCATTATCTAACAAAAAAAGATTGCAATCCACTATTACCTCGAATTGGCTCTTCCCTTTACCTCACCGATCGATGTACACTAGTCTTCATATCCTTGGCCTTTATACACATCATAACATGAAGATGCAAATCTTTCTTGTAATAACCACTTCATCTTTTGCAAAAAAAAAACGAATTTTAGATTTTTGTTGGCTCGTACATAATAATGTTACATATTGCCACCGATCAAAAGCTCGACCCTTAATTTGTTTGATACTAGCCCCACCTTTTTTTCCTCGGGAATTTCATGGTAATCAAAAAATTGCAGAACTTTAGAAATCCAATCAATGAAATCCTCGACATGTATACTCCCGTTGAACTGGGGAATTTTGCTTTCATCTTATAATCATCAAAACCTTGTTACCGCATCCTCGGCTAATATGCACCATGATTTTCATCACTCTCATTCTCGATATCAGATTGATAACAAGGTTGTCTCAGAATGGGCTAATTGGCAAGTCAATCACAGCCAAAAGTCTCTACTCAAATCCTACCAATTCCTTGGTCAACAGGTTGGCTCGGACAAATCCCTCAGCACGAATCCTATCACAATGTCAATTAATAGTTAACAGGTTGGCATTGGGCAAACCTCTCAATGCAAGCCCCGTCAACTGTTGGTTGCATCATGTTGTTGTTGAGGTTTAATCCTATGAACATATATCTAATTTCCTAGTCAACATGTTACTACCTCTCCAAAGATCCCCACAAAGCTTCCACCCCACTCAGTAGGGCTTGTGTGACCTGTCTCGTTCTGTGCCATTGAACAAGGCAATTCCTTAATTTGATACCACTTGATGCAGCGAAGACAGTAAAAGTATGGCCAACATCAATACTCAAAGAAACATGACACACCAAAGTTAAAAACACTCTTTCAAAGAAAACAAAATCTATAATATTGAATAAAAGATCTTCCAATTCTAAAGCTTACAACCTTATTTATAGTACTAAAGTCTCTAATCCTTGTAGTACAAGAAATTATAATTCTAATCAAACATAAAAACTATTCCTAAATAGAATAACGAATATGATTCCTAATAGAATAATAATACTAATAAAAAAAGAAAATTTAAAAAGGAAATTAACCTTAAAAATAAGGTAAAATAATAATAATAAAAATAAAAAAAGAATAATTACTATTTTTTGTCCTAGCTCTGATACCACTTGACGCTGCGAAACACCTTAAAGTATGATCATCGTCAATTCTCAAAGAAACCTCGCACACCAGAGTTATGAACACTCTTCCAAAGAGAACAAAATCTACAATATTGAATAAAAGATCTTCCAATTCCAAAGCTTACAACCTTATTTATAGTACAAAAGTCCTAATGCTTGTAGTACAACGAATTCTAATTCTAATCAAATATCGAATCTATTCCTAAATTGAATAACAAATACGATTCCTAATAAAATATTAATACTAATCTAAAAAGGAAATTAGCCCTAAAATAAAGATAAAATAATAATAAATAAAAATAGAATAATTACTAATTCTTGTCCTACATCCCAATGCACCAAGTTAAAGTTCCAAATTTGCATATCAATGCACTTGGTTGTATGTCTCCTCTATGTGTGAACAAAGGTTCTGCGTGAGGGGAAGATAAGAACTTGATATAGATTTTGGGTCTATTCTCTAACAGCTTAACCTATTTGAAGTAATTAGTTGTCTAATAACTTCACAAGAAGTAATATCATACAATGGTCTAGGAAAAAGAAATAGGACACTTACTCATTAGAGCTTCTCCGATATTGACTCAAATTTTAATAAAAAACTTAATTTGATACAAAGGGTTCCAATAAACAAACTCAAATTTAAAGGAGGGTAAAACATGGCAATTGAATCTTTAAAGGAGAATAAAATCTAACTATTAGTGATTTGAGGAAAAATTTTGAATCTCCCTTGATTTGAGTAAAAATTTGAGTCTCCCTTCATTTTGTATAAGTTTGAGTAAAAGAATTTGAGTTATTTTTACTCAAATTTAAATTTGAGTCATGTTTTGGGAAAGGGTTGGAAATGCTCTTATTAGAGCAAAAAATAAAAATAGCAACAAGAGAAAATATGAAAATGACACTGATTGTCTCCTCGTTACATATAATCAAAGGTGCTCCTATCTTTTAACCTATTACATTACAATATAATCAAAAGTGCTACAATCTTTTAACCCATTAAATACAAACTATAAATTCGCACTCAAGCTCGAGCATTGACATCTATCATGAACATCTCATTAAGAAGATTCAAAACTGGCTCTTGTATAAGACTTTAGTAAAGAAACCTCCTAAACAATCACATGACAAGCGATAGGACATAAGTTGTAATACACTCCTTTTGAAATGAAAGTAAAACTCTCTGGTTGGCTTGCATCATAAATTACTGGATTCGTATAAGTTACAGCTTTGATTAGAATAGAATATTTTCACTGGCTTGCTAGTGGAAAAACCTATCTCCTCCAACGTTGATCTTACCCATAACATTGCACAAGCTGGGCATGAGCCATTGTCTTTGTACTCCACTAATGCTCTCGATTGTCCCACAGTTTTCCGCCTCTTACTCCTCCTAATCACAAAGTTACCACAAACCCAATGGATGAACCGCCCATGGCCCTGGTCTGGTCCACAGACTGGCCCATATAGCACAGACTCTCAACCAAGATTCTTGCTCTGCACATCTCTAGTACTTGAAATAAGGAAGAAAGAAAGAGAGAAAAAAGAGGAACAAGTGAAAATGTTTGATTTGAACATAGAGGAATGCTAAGTATGAAGATTGGTATAATTCTTCTACCTTCCTAAGTAGAAGTCATTAATTATAGACTAGATTTTGATCCAGGCAGCAGGATTCCATTAAAGGTTAGATTATAGAGTTGATTAACATTGTGTAAACCCAAATAATGAAAGATAAAACTGTTTTTCTATTGTCTCATCTCATAGATGTGCCTCATCACGATGCTAAAAACTAGAATCATACACTACAGTCACAGATAACTCTAGTCTGCATACACATTTGACAATTGCAGGCAAATGATGGGCGAAGAGCTTTCTGGTTTGGGTGTGAAGGATTTACAGAACTTGGAGAACCAACTGGAAATGAGTCTCCGGGGAGTCCGTATGAAAAAGGTTTGATGCTCGCTCCCATCATAAACTCAATGCTCCATAATCTTCTATAATCAACCGCTTGCATTAACAGTCTTTTAATTTTGTAGGACCAAGTTTTGATTGATGAACTACAAGAACTACACCGAAAGGTCAACCTAGAAAACTGCAGCCACTCATTATTGTTTTATTCTCTGAAAGCAAATACCTTCTGGTAGCTAAATTTATGTGGCCTTATTGCAGGGAAACCTCATGCACCAAGAAAATGTGGAACTGCATAAGAAGGTAAACATACTTCATCAAGAAAATACGGAATTGTATAAGAAGGTATTGGTGTACACAATAACACAAGTCTCCAATATGCTCTCAAAAAAAGAAATACCCTTTCAGAATCGCTGAACCAATTTGAAGATATGAGCTTTATCACTGTTAACCCCCACTCAATTGTTTTTGCATCAGGTTTATGGATCAAGGGACGTAAATGGGGCAACAAGATATGCCTGCATCACAAGTGGTTTAAACATTGAGGAGGAACCCCAGGCACCTGTGCATCTCCAGCTATGCCTACCCACAGGCACAAGTACAAAATTGGGGTAATTTCTCATCTTTGTAGTTTGATATTTCTCCAAAATACCAAAAACTTCATTAGTCTCTTGATTCAAGATATGTTTTTGGGTGACAAATGCAGCAGGCTACAACTGCATTAGGGAAAAAGATGGATCGATTGTGGAAGTTTGTTAACCGAATCATTATCAACAAAAGGCACATGGTTAAAAGTTATGCTTCTATTAGTGAGAAGTGGTATGTTTATCAGAGATTTCAGAAAAAAAAAAAAATTTGGTAAGATGTAGTTAATGGAATCAACTTTGGCACCTGCAACAAGATTAAAAAAAGAACCACCTATCTATGTAAAGTACCATCACAAGCAATAAAAGAAAGCACTTTTTTTTATCAAGCTTGTGTCATATATAAGTTTAGTGATTTCTTTGAACACACTACCAACAGTAGCAGTAAATAAATTGGAAAAATAATGCAAATGGCAAAGGCAACTCAGCAGTGTGGCATGATAATATAAAAAGAATGATTACAAAATACTTAAGAGTAGCTTAAATCTGTACACCACAAATAGCATATGATATCAGAAGTAGAATGGATCGTTTACTGCCAACCCAGAAAGGTAAAGTGCCCATTGATTCACTAAATGGAAAGCATTCTAATTGCACTTAGATAATCAACCAATAGGTCCAAGGGAGACATTATGGAGTGCGTACCTCATTATGAGTTAAATCAGTATTTGAGAACAAATTCATTCCATCAACCTTATTTTCTAAACAGCTGGGATAAATACTTGGTTGACTAGAACCTGGATTTCTGTGATGAAAAATATAGAGCTGCACACAGAGAAGCAGTCAGATCACCAGTCATGGACAAACAAATAGACAGGAAACAAACTCTGATATACAACAGCAACATTCGTGGTTTCCCATGCGTGCATGCAAAAGAGTGTATGTAAGAGAGAGAAAGAAGGTTTGGGAGAGTGGAGGGGGGAAAAGGGAGATGCACGCAGAGAGTTCTTGATGATCGCAATACAAATATTACAGAAAGTATTTCTTGCAACATAGAAACCCAAATGTCAAAGCAATTTGCAAAAAAAAAAAAAAACATTTCTACACTAATCCCTGGGACAACAGAACTCCCTGAATCAAGGTAAACAAATAAACCTACATACCCTAATTTGGATTCATAAGTTCCCATCATGTGACATAATAGTGATTACCATACAGCTGTAGAAACAAAGCTGCACATTGAAAATTAACAGTCCTGGCTAGAGGGTGATGAGACCATGTACTTTCCAAATTTATAACACAAGAAACCAACGAATTTGAACACTAATGATTCCTCCAGATTTACAAAGGAGAATTTTTGGCTGGGACAAAGTCATCCAATTTCAGATTTAAAGATAGAGGCATGTAACCCACGTCGAAAGTAACAAACAAGGGTCATTGGAAAAAAATCACTTTCTTGAAGAGGCAAGACAACATAATGGAGTAATTGTTCAGCAACATGATACAGGTTTTTCTAAATGATACTATGAACACTCTAAGCAACAGGATTTTAATGCAGCTAGCCTTCCAATTAATGACCAAGCTTTCAAGTCATGGAAATAACATGCAAACTGATAAGGTAAATAAGGTAACCCAAGCTTAGTGGTGGTGCTTGAAATGTTCCAATAAATCAAACTTGAGTCTAAAATTAAGCTGCAATTCGTCCTGCTCAAATACCTGTAAAAGTTGGAAAGCCAATGACAGTAACTCCATACAACTACAGAAAAGCATTTAGCTCTGTTATGAACATGTACATGTGAAAGTATTCAAAACCAAGAATAGTCCTGCCTATCAAAGTTTAGCATGTATAAGTTATCCCAATGTATGATTTAAAAAGTGTAGGCTTTTTGAATGGAGAGGGGTTAAAAATGACTCGAATTTAGACGCACAAGGTTGATGGAATAATAATAGAAATTCTGGAGTCTCTAGATAGGCACTTGTCAGGCGCTGTTGCAGAAAAAGGCATAAAGAAGAAATTTTACAGAATACAAAATATGGTTTAGGTTGAAAATCTCCTGAAACCAGCAGGTGAAACTCTTATATGTCCATTTACGAATCGAATGATCTCGAGAGCTAGGGACTCAAATTCTCAATTCAACAATTATGATTTTTCCACATACTTCATAGTACAGGTCGATACAACTAGAAAATCAAACCTTATTATACAAAAGGTTTCATTTACAAAGAACACATTCTTCAGTTAATAAAACAAATTTTAGAACCACTGAGAACCATGCATTAATTTACAAGGCATAAATAGGCCCATGGACCACTATTCTAGTACACAAAGGTGCAACTTGCACGGGCCAACCAGACCGCAACCCAAAAAAAAAATCAATACTTGGCAGAGATGTTCAGTATTCAGATTGGGCATAAAAACTCCAACTCAGTTTAACTTCAGATGGTATTAGGGTTGGGGTCTTAGGTTATTCGGGTTCAACTTTAACCGGATCAAATTTGTAAAATGGGGTTCAAACTGGTATAATATTTCAACAAAGTTTACAGGTTTTATATATAAAAAGGGGAGGGACTTTAGCATTAGGGATCTCATTCTCACTTCACACTCGTTTGTTCTCTCATGCCAGCGCACCCTTCTTCTCTGCCCAAATCTCTTGGTTTCGCTCTCTACACATGCGCACACACCAATTTGTAGCTTTAAAAAAAATAAAATGTGTTTGCATTTTTATACTATGACCAGGTGGGATGCTACTGAAGGACTATTTAGGCCGTTGCGCATTGAACCCTACAAGACTTGCTCTCAATTGGCTGACACTTTCGGTAGACATCTCTTTTTCCATTTTATGCATCTTGGTGGTAATTATTCATAAACTGAATTTCAAGGAAAAGTGAGACAGAAATGTAAAGTAACTTTTTTCAAAAATGAAACAACCTGCAGAAAGTCCAAAGTAGAAAATCTGATGGATTAGATTTCTATCAATTTTTATCATGGGAGCCTCCTAACATTTCTCTTCTAATTATTTTAGGATAAAAATCATTGTGACGATTATTGTATGTGTCATTAGCTTCTAAGCATTACATAAAGCATATTGAAATCAACCTAGAATGATATATCAAACATAATGTAACCCATGATAGCACCAGTCGACTAATATCATAATCCAAGTACATTATTTGGTCCCATTACCAATATACCCTTAAGTCGTAAAACATGGAATACACATCTCAAATGACACTAAAACTACCATATATTAAAATTAAAACTAAGTTAAAAATTGATTCAATTGAAACCCAACTTGATTTAGTACTATATGAAGCCTAAAACTAGAATAAAAGTAGATTTAATCTAAGGTCCAATTTGATTTGCCAAACCATAAAATTAGCTACCTATGAAAGTTCCACTTGGCCCCATTCCTTCTTTGTGCGCACCACGCCACTCAAATCCATACAACAAGCAACAAGAACAATCATGAGGGGAATTCATTATCCATCACCATGTTAAATCTTTCTAAGAGTGTCAAATCAATGGTTGAAAAGATTGTAAATCTAGTACATCTGTTGCTTCAACTTTCGTCTATTTGAGAATAGCAGCCACGGTTGTTTAGATGCATCTAAGTTTGTCCTCTAGATTACAAATATCATCACAATCAGGTCATTAACATTGTTACCTAAATTTTCTTGTCTTTCTCTAGAATAATTCCAAGCACGAGGAATTACAACTTTCAACAGCATTGTTCAGCTTTTGTTCGTTACCCTTTGGTAGCCCTTGTCATTCACAAAGACAAGCATCAACCAAAACTCACCTTGGTCATCATGGTGGTATGATGACGAGAAAGGATATTTGCAAGCAAAAAGAGTCTTTGCTCACACACCAAGTAAAGCCACAAACTAGTGAAACAATCCTTCCCCACAATTCTTTAACAAGCAATCTAGGAATCCCTCCGAGAATTACATAGGAATGATCCCTAAATAAGATTGCCTATCTCGTAGCCACTCGCATCTAAAAACAAACAGGACAGGTTACAAACAAAAATATCACTAATCTTAACAAAACAAAACCAACCCCAGGGCTCTAACTACATAACTTGAAGAAAGCTTATCCCAACCCACCTAGGAGGCACGGTAGCTTAACTTGACTAAAATTAAGACTAATAGTTAAAAGCTACAACCTGTATACAACAATCAATAAAGTAACCAATCACCTTCAAGTCCTAAAACTACAAAAATCAACTAAAAAACAATACCAAAATGTTAAGACAAAGTAACGTAAAACAAGCTTTGCTTTATTCCAAGACTTTGATCAGACAATGGCCTATCATATGCTCCATGTAAGGTTTTAATTTGCCTCTATACTTATGTGCATGCTCCACATGACATACTTAGCTTGTCATTATATGTAATATGGTATACCCAATTCCAAACAAGAACATATCCACAATGATGGGAAACCATACTCCTATGGAAAAGACTATCTTTCTTGTTCAGATGATTTGGCATCTGGCCAACCCTAGTGAGCAATAATTCAAGCTACTCATCACTAGGTCAACAATATAAAATTCAAAGGAAAAAATCAAAACCAAATTTCAACATATTCTACCAAGTAAATCAAGTGTATGGAAAAACTGATTTTTTCGACATTGAAACTTGAAAACATTTATCAAATGATCAAAATATTTGTGTAGGTATCTGCATAAGTAAATATCCTGTAAAACTAATGTTATGATCTCAATGTGTTACTCAAATTCTGAGTCTCGAAGTCCATCAGGTCAAAAGCTTGAACATTCAAGATCAAGTCAAGTAGAGAATATGATTTTTAAGCTACACCGTGGTATGCAACTAGTTAGGAAAAGGTAAGTCAATGCAGACACATATTGACATTACTTTCATTAGGTTAAAATTGGATTTTACTCAAAATTGTGATCAGTAGTATAATTCGTGATTTTGTAATTGAAAAAATAACTTTTAAAACACATTTGGAGTCATGGTATGAAGCACGAATGAGCAACACCCCTTGCTCTTTAAAAGATTGGAGAA